AGGTCCGTTTTGGAGGATTTGGGCTGCTGAGCGGCCAAAACGGACCACAGCCAAGCAGACCGAGCTGGCGAGGTCCGTTTTGGAGGATTTGGGCCGCTCAGCGGACAAAACGGGAACCAGGGAGAGAAAGGGACAGAGACCCACCGCGAGCTCTCGTGTGATGAGGTTGCCGTGCCTGTGCGGGTACAGGAACACTGACGTTACAATCCGTGGAAGTGCTGGGGAGGTCCGTTTTGAAGGATTTGGGCCGCTAAGAGGCCAAAACGGACCACCCGACAGTGCAGGGAGCGCAGGCGAGCAGACCCAGCGTGCGTGCAAGCTGGGGCGGTCCGTTTTGGACGATTTGGGCCGCTCAGCGGACAAAACGGAGTACCAGAGAGAGAACCGAGCACAGGAGCACAGCCACAGGGGAAAGGAGAACACAAAACAAAAGAACAGCTGGGCAAGCCCCCTCTGTAGAATTTCAGCAGCTCTCTTACCCAGGCGGGCCACCAGACACAGCAAGCACCGCCAAGCAAACCAGGACTGGGAGAGCTGGGGAAGTCCGTTTTGCAGGATTTGGGCCGCTGAGCGACCAAAACGGAAAGCCAGAAAGAGCAAGGAGCACAGCTACGCAGATGAGGAGCAGACAAGCTAGGAAGGTCCGTTTTGATGGACTTGGGCCGCTGAGCGGGCAAAACGGACCACCAGACGGAGAAAGGAGCACAGAATCAGAGCCACGGGAAAAAGGAGCAGAACAGCTAGGCAAGCCCGCCCTGGGAAAACCACAGAAACGCAAAGTCGATGTCACCAAGCCCAACACGCGCCATACAAGGAGACCATCGGTGGCACAAAGTGCCACGCCTGCCACGCAAAACCCCACCTCGCGTCACAACCGACGGACCGCGTCACAGTTGAGGAAACGCGTCCGCGTCACAGATGAGGAAGATTTCCGCGTCACAGATGAGGGGCTTTCCCACGACAGCATGAAGCACTCATGGCCCAGCAGATGATGCAACAGCATCAGGCCCTGCAGCATCAGCAACAGATGCAACAGCATCAGCAGATGCAACAGCATCAGCAGATGCAGCCCCAGATGCATCAGCCCTTGCAGCATCAGCAACAGATGCAACAGCATCAGCAGATGCAGCCCCAGATGCATCAGCCCGTGCAGCATCAGCAACAGATGCAACAGCATCAGCAGATGCAGCCCCAGATGCATCAGCCCCTGCAGCATCAGCAACAGATGCAGCAGCATCAGCAGATGCAGCCTCTCCAGATGCCTCAGCCACAGATGCAACAGCATCAGCCCCTGCTCCATCAGCAACAGATGCAACAGCATCAGCCCCAGATGATGCAACAGTATCCCCAGCAGATGCAGCATCAGGTGATGCCTCCTACCCAGATGCAACAGCATCAGCACCAGATGCAGCAGCACCACCCTCAAACGCAACAGCATTGGCAGGAGACATGGGATGACCGTGACGACTGGGTGCAGTCAGTGCACCCAAATGGAAAGGAGGTGCCATATTGGTGGCCACATGGGGATGAGGCATGGTTCAGCCTTTCCAAGAGGGATCGGTGGAAATTCATCCATGGTAAGGACAAGCAACCGTCTCACAAGTTTCGATAGAAGAAGATGGAGGGGGAAAAAGACATGAGTGATCTTCGCAGTAATTACCGTGGATCGATATGTTGAATTTTTGACCAGCGGTCATCACCGCTGAAATATATAGATATAACATTTGTTTATGTATAGTGAGTTGTAAAAATACACAAAGTATACATATAATATGTGTACATATATCTGTCTAAAGCGGTCATTACTGCTGATATACATACATAAAGCTGTAAAGAAACATCGGCAACATGAGTGTACAAGTATCTGTCTAATAGCGGTAATTGTCATTATATATATATAAAAGACGACAACTATGTGTGGACACAGACCTGTCTGTTTATTTCCGGTCTTTACCGCGGATTTTTCTTTGAGAAGGTTTTGAAGAAATGTCACTGCCTTGACAGAAACAAACCAGGACTATCAGTGTGATCACTTAAAATCAAAGTTAATTTGGTTTCACGTGAATTTTCCGCTCAACACGAATACGCCCACCCGAATAGAATTTTGCTGCTGGGCTACGTCGCCATGGTCATGACATCAACTTGAGCATATTTTCTTCAACCTATACGTCGCCATGAACGTGTACCCAAATGGAGATGAAGTTTGTGAGGCAGACAGTCCATACCAACAGACCATGCACATTGTCACTTTACGGTTTGATTGGGGACGCTTCACCGCCATGAATGCAAATATTTTTTTAGTCGTGGTCTGGAACACCCGATATCATTGCGGCTTCAATGACCTCATTGTTCAATATCTATCAGAGGCAGAGACACGCAACCTGGCGGTCGTTTCGTGGGCCTCGTTGAACCAGTACGAAGATCTTATCAGTGACATTCTGTTTGATATGTCTCCTTGACCTTTGGATGATGCACATACCAGTTTCTACGTGTATACCTCAGCTTGGAGCCATTGGCGATTGAAAATAAAGTACTGCATGCGTTGGACACGGTTTTTACCGTTCATACCGGTTTTCACCGACTGCACTGGTAATCAGCATACTTTGTTTCACATATGCTGCCAAACCTGTTGAATGTCAATGACCAAGCAAATCATCAAATAGCAAAGGGTTGATCATCGTGCACTAAAGGCCCAACATGTGTATAGTCACTACATGGCCCAACCTACGATCGAATCAAAACAAGTGCAACATCATTACAGTGGCTTTGGTATTTACATATATATATAAATGGTATATGCACGGTATACACTGGTATACGCGCGGTATACCACCGTATACACTGGTATACCAATGTGCAGTAACGTAACATATGTATATCTTTATATAGAACAATAGCTATCTTCAGGAACAAATGTATATATATATACATATTGACTATTGACACATATGTGCATACTAAGAATACCGCTAATCCACGGACGGTTATATCACTGCTGGGATGAAATGAAGCCATGGCTAGCTCGTCATCCAAGGCCAGCAAGCGAAAACGTGCGGAAAACGAGAATGATTTCTTTTCGTGCATGGGATTGGGTGTCCCTGACTCTAATGTGCGCACCATCATGAGCAAACTCAAAAAGGACAACAGTTCGGAGAATAGCTACTGGAGAAGTGAAAAATTTAGATTCAAAAACTCGCTGGACAACATTATGGAAGAAGTGGTGGAGGGAAAGGACGGCGCTCAAGTGACAATATATGTAAACAATTTGCAAAAGTATATGGATAGCCTGGTTCACCAAGCACCAGCTTACAGTTCCTTTTTGCAACGAATCTTGAGCGAGGAGCAAAGGAAAACACCTGATGGTGTCCATGCTATTTTGTACGTGGACGAATGTGTACCAGGTAATATATTACAACCTGATAATCAGCGCAAGAGCTACTGTATGTATTTTTGCTTCAGGTGCCTGGCAGACTTCAGATCTATACTTCATTGGTGGCCAGTGGCATTGCTGAGACACTCGCAAATTGATCTTTTGCAGGATGGGCTCCCAGAATTCTTCACAAGAGCTGTGCGGCTATTGGTCCCTATTTTGTCAGGTCTTCTTTTGGAGAACGAGACGCTGATTGTCACAAAGAAAATTTTCTTGATAGCAGATGAAGCAGCTCTCAAGGCAGTAGCAGGATCAAAAGGCGCATCTGGCCTTCGCCCTTGTTTGCATTGTGATGCATTCTCTAAAGATCGAAGCAACATGGCAAGTAGTTTGGGGACTGCATCAATTGCGTGTTCAACATTTGGACGGTTTCGAGTTCTGCCTGATTCCGAAATTTTGGACGTGCTGCAGCACTTACAATATAAACTTCCATGAGGTCTCTGCTGCACATGGGCTTGGACACTCAACAACCGCCCAAGCTGGAAAGCAACAATCTCATACCACAAGCTTGGCAGAAACATGCCTCTGTGCAAGATTCATAGCACACAATGGTAAACCGGTGCAAGTACCCCTTCAGGAAGTCAAGAAGGCAAACTTCCGAGTTACAGTACCCCTTCAGGAAGTGAAGAAGGCAAACTTCCGAGTTACAGTTACAGTCCCCCTTCAGGAAGTCAAGAAGGCAAACTTCCGAGTTACAGTACCCCTTCAGGAAGTCAAGAAGGCAAACTTCCGAGTTACAGTACCCCTTCAGGAAGTGCAGAAGGCAAACTTCCGAGTTACAGTTACAGTCCCCCTTCAGGAAGTCAAGAAGGCAAACTTCCGAGTTACAGTACCCCTTCAGGAAGTGAAGAAAGGCAAACTTCCGAGTTACATTTACAGTACCGTACCCCTTAGTACTTAGTACTTAGTACCCCTTCAGAAAATCAAGAAGGCAAACTTCGGATTCCGAGCTACACAAACCCATATGCCAATGGTATAGAAAATAGAAAATGAAAACTACAAAAGCACAACGCCAATTAGACACTTCGGGCGCTATTTTGGAAACGTTAAACGCGTTGCCCAACAGAGTTCCAAACAGATTTATCGAGCGTCACCACTCTTCGGAAATTTCAGAGTGAGACTACGTTCCGCAAACATGAGATTGTACGGGCCACGCGTTTCAGAAGCAAAACTGTCTGCATGGTTTCACAAGCAAGCGCGTTAAAGGAAATTGCTCGCCTTCAAACATGTGAAAAAAAAACACATCTGAAAATGGCAGCTCACGAACTCCTTGCCAAACAAAGCATCAAACAATCCACCCTATTCAACGCACAACTCTTGTGAAACTTTTTCACCCTTTTCTCAACCCAGCGATTTTGTAAAGAAAGCATCGCGTCCAGCTGTTGCCATTCATGACCGCTGGCTGACATTCACATGAAATTGAGCAATGTGCAAGCCAGCACAGCCCCAACTTGAGGAATGCACATCGAATTGCCAATCATCTTGTGGGCTTTTGCAGGGTGCCCCTCACAAAGCTGGAGCAAGCTATCAGGAACCAAGCTCGAAACCAAAGGATGAACGCCATGTGCGCTCAACAGTTCTCCTGGCAGAAAAACCTTTTCTCTTTCATGTTGTACAGCTTGCTGTTCCGAATGATTGTTGGCAAGACCGTGTGAGCTGAGCCAAATGGCGGAGCCTGCGCCAAGTCCACATTGATGTCCCAATCGAAGGAAATGGGGTGCTTTGACTGCAGCATTTCAACATATTGCTGTAGCCGCTGTCTGTCGCCAAAATCCATCACAGCCAGGCAGCGATAAGGCCTTCCATCCACACGTTCCGGCAAAGAGCGGCGCTCGGCTAAACCATTCATGTACTCACCCACTTCTTCCTCAGACGCCGTCAGGAAGACAGACCCCTTCAGTATCAGATTGCAAAATGCAACCTTCTGCAAAAGCTCGACCCCAAAGCGATAAGGCTTCTTCTGGGTCAACTCGTTCAATGTCACAATGCTGTATGCACGAGGTCTGTTCACCGGGATTCCTGGACGATCAACAAAAAACGGACACGGACCCCACTATAGATACTTACCCTAAATATTGGGTGGTATAAATATTGGGTAGTAAAAAATATCTAATTTGGAAGAAGTCGCAAAAACTCATCATCAAAACAAAGCAAACGATGGGCTAACAAAGCCTAGGTTCCCATATCTGTCGGGCTGAAGTTTGCAGTCTCCACAACAGCATCATCGAAAACCTCACTGAAGAACTCGGTGGCAGGCCACCTCGGGGTACATTCATTCACCACCGCATCTGGCGAACGGGAAGTCTTCTTCAAAGAAAAAGCCCAGATGAAGGATGGGATGCTGGCCTCATCTAAATATCCAAGACCTTTTCCACGAGCGCTCCATGGGGTACAAGTGTTCCCTGCAAGCTCCAACCACAGTTCAATGAGGCCATCCTGCGATGGTCCGACTTGGGGCGCCCACTCACAAAAGGCATTGCACTTGCAACACCACGCAAAAGTGCAAAAAACGCTGGAATCTAAGCCATTCAGGTAAGCCGCTGCCTCTTTGAGAAACTCTCGGCCCAAAGTGCCTTTGCTCAAGTTGGGATCCTGCTGCAAACGTTTGCGCTTTTGCTCCTGCATCTTTTTCAGCGTGGCCACAACATGCGTATCAACGCGGTGGCACAAATCCACAAACACATGTGGGGCAGACAAAACCTCTTGGCATGCGGAATCAATCTCCGTTTGAGAGTGGAGCACAACCTCAACCTTGAACAGGGACAGCCTGTTGAACGCATCTGCAACCATAGCGGCTGCAGCCTCACCAAATCCCACACCTGAGTAAGCTGTCGTCAAGTGGAGCTTGATATTTTTCTGGCTGGTGCTGAGATTCTGGAGCCTCCAATGCTGGATCACCCTCCGAACGACATCGTTGCGCCAATCAAAAAGATCCTCGAAGCTAACGGGACCATCCGGCAATTCAACCTGTTCCTTTTGCTTTCGTTTTGTACGCCCTCTAGGGCCCTGAAAAAAATCAGCCGTGAAAAACTCAGGCTCATCATCGTCACACAGCAAATCACTGCTTGGAGCGCTGCGTCGCAGCTGCTTGGAATGCCCGGGCATGACGCTGTCCCGGCGCCGGCAAAATGCCAAAAAAAGTATCACTATGACACCAAAAAAAAACATATGTTCTAGAGATCTAGCCCCCTATCATTTCAAATGCTTCCGTCCAACATGATGCTGCCTTGCAATGCTTCACTTAAGACTTCAAAATTACATCTTGAACCCCGCTGGCAAATGTGGAAAAGACATGTGCCCACGCAATCACACATGAGCAACAGAGGTGAGAAGCCATTGCTTCTGATGGCACAAGCAAGCAGCCACTTGAAAAGCCCATTCGTTTTGACAAGCAGAACGCTGGCCTAGTCTGGCCAATGTCACATTAAGAACCTACTTCCAAAAGTTACAGCCCAAAATGGGCTCCGAGAAGCACCTTGATTGCCAGCTCTCAAGACTTAGTCACTTAGTCCTGCGGCGCTTGGATGCCGGATCGTCGGCGACGTTCGGCTTCTGAGCCTCTTTCGTATCCTTTTTTGCTTTCTTGTCTTTCTCCAACCGTCGAGTCTCAGAATCCTTTGCTTTGCGAGCAGCTTCAGCCTGCTTCGCTTTGCGATCAGCCTCTTCTTTCAGCTTCTTTGCTTTTTCCTCCTCCTTGACTTTGCACTCAGCCTCCTTCGCTTTGCGATCGGCCTCCTCTTGCAACCTCTGAGCTGCCTCAGCCTCCTTCGCTTTGCGATCGGCCTCCTTTTGCAACCTTTGATCTTCTTCAGCCTCCTTCGCTTTGCGATCGGCCTCCTCTTGCAACCTTTGAGCTTCTTCAGCCTCCTTCGCTTTGCGATCGGCCTCCTCTTGCAACCTCCGAGCTTTCTCAGCCTCCTTTGCCTGGCGATCAGCCTCATCTTGCAACCTCTGAGCTTCTTCAGCCTCCTTTGCCTGACGATCAGCCTCCTCTTGCAACCTCTGAGCTGCCTCAGCCTCCTTCACCTTTCTGTCAGCCTCATCTTGCAACCTCTGAGCTTCCTCAGCCTCCTTCGCTTTGCGATCGGCCTCCTCTTGCAACCTCCGAGCTTCCTCAGCCTCCTTTGCCTGGCGATCAGCCTCATCTTGCAACCTCTGAGCTTCCTCAACCTCCTTCGCTCCCCGATCGGCCTCCTCTTGCAACCTCTGAGCCTCGTCTTTCTTCTTTGCCTCATCTTCCGCCATCCTTGCAGCCTCAATTCCTGCTTCTGCCGCATCCGCCATGTCTGATTTCACTTCCAGAGGGGCTCTTCTTTGGACAGCAGGAGTCACAGGCGCTGAGTGAAGGACTTCATCGGTAACCTTCAGAAAGCTAAGGATTACTGGGTCATCCATGGCCCAGCTTTGGGAAAGCCATTTCAAATCACTTGAGATCTGCAAAGATGTGATGCAACATCCAGCTCTGAAGCCCACCCAGTGCATTTCCGACATGACCCTTTCCACAAAGATCCATCCAGGCGGAGTGTAGAGAGCTTGGCCCTGGCCAGGGATAAAAAGACAGCTCAAAAGTTTTAACTCTCGGGTGTTTCACAATCAAGAATTAAAAACCCCATATGCGCTTGCAAAAAAAGACCACCAAAGATTGCAAAAGCCCCACATTAGACAAAGATTTAACAAATCTCACGCTTAAGCCAGAACAACCCTACCTTGCCCAAAGTGCAGGAATAGAGCTTGAGCTTGGCAGCTAGAGCATCATCCATTCCAAGCAGTGCCTGCTTTGCGGCCTTGAGTGTTGGCTGGCCCAACACATCATACAAAAGCTTTTCACGCACCAAAATGACTTCTCGGGTTCCTTGAAGACCAAGACGAAGTGATCCTGTCAGGGGCGGAGAAGAACGGAGGGTAACAACTGCGTTTCCAAAAAATGCTGGGAAACCCCCTAAAGAAAACACGCATGAAACACTTCCGTTTTGACCACAGGGTCCCGACCTGCATGGCTCTTCTCGGGGCTGCAAGTTACAGTGTTCTTGCCGATGATCACAGCCATGGCTTCCAAACTCTGAGTCAAAGACTCATTGTTCTGAAGTTCGTCCGGTGTGGGACATGCCGCCGAGCAGATATAACGAAGGCGCTTGGACACAACATCAGCAATGTCACTTCCGGCTGGGAAACGACGATGCGCCCGGTCGCACTTTTGCGCTGGGCCCTGAGACGAAAACACTGTTAAGAAGTCGGTGAACATGAAGCGCTTCACGCAGTCCTCTTTCTCAAAAGATGCATGCTCATCAGCCTTGCATGCAAACATCACTGGAACATCAGGGTTGAAAGCCTCCTCCTTCACAGGGTCTTCTTCAATCTGCTCCACGACCTGCACTTTTTGACTGGATTCAGAGTGCTTGAAAACATCTGAGGGTGTAAGGGAAGTCACACTTCTGTGTGCAGCATTCTTCGCAGCAGCCTTGGCCTTTTTTGGCCCATCGCGCACCAACTTCAATGCCTTGGTGATATCCCCTGTGGCAGACTTGCACGCAGAAACCAACTCAACAATCGGGGATCTTGCATCTGCCGCCTCTTTCTTGACTCTCTCTATGCCTTCAAGATCTGAACAATCCAGAACCCGGCCAGCAGTGCTCTTGCAAGCTTCAAACGTGATCAACTTCTGGTAGCTCTGGCATGGGGCAGCTAAACCCAAACAGATGCTGGGGTCTGCTGCAGTACCAGTGCTGCTGCGGGCAGACGACAAAGCTTTGGACGCAATGCTTCTGATGTGGGTCTGCAAGGCCTCTTCACTGCCGTACAGCTTCTGCAAACATTCCAGCCTGGCTTGCACAATCACCTCTTCTCCCTTCAAAGACTCTTGCTGGTTCGTGGGCAAGGCTGCAACTTCAGCCAAAACTTTCTCAAGCTGCTCTTTCACAGCTGAGGCCTTGGTCTGGACCTGTGACAGCGCAGTGCTCATCTGTCTCTGCGCCTTGTTGACTTCTCTGTCTCGGTCAAACCATTTTTTTTTGGACTTCTTCTCTGTGGTATCCTCCTCCCCTTCCTCATCTTTCTCTTCAGCGTCTTCCTCCGCTTCGTCTTGCGCATCTTCATCAGGCACAAGCAACGACACATCGTTGAGGGTAATGCTGATTCCATCCATGTTGTCGGAGCTGACAAAAGACCTGGCAGCCTCCGACTCTGAAACTCCGCCTTGAATCTTGTCATGGTTCACCATGAGGGACTTGGACATTTTCTCCACATCCTCTGCAGTCGCCTTCTTTGTTTGCTGTCCATGCATGACAACCTTCCTCAGGAGCAGTGGCGTCACAGAGGGAAGGCTGTTGGTAGGCCCTGTGGCTGGATGTGTCAAATGTGAGATTTGAAACGATTAAGCTGTGAGTTTATCAGAAGCCAAAAGAAAGAACATCATGGCCAAGTATATAAGTAGTGAAACAATTTCCTGCAATATGTTTTACACCTGCAATCATCGCCTCACAAATAAAATCTATTGCTCATGCCCACAGAAGCAAATTCCCTGGGTCCTCGCTGGGAAACCACCGACAACATGTGGTGAAAGATTTGGTGGGAGGCCCAGTATTGACTTTCCCCAACAAAGAAACATTACCCTGTCTTCAAATTGAGACAAAGCTCTTCTCCTTTGCAACTCTTTTGACGTCATCCACCAAATCCTCTGTGTGGATTCGTAGCCTCAAGCTTGCTTTCGCAGGGCCCTTGTGATCATGGGGGATGCCCAAGGCTTCATACGTAGCAACAAGCTCATCCCACTTGCTTGCTGCCTCTTGCTTGGTGAGGGCCCCTCCATCTGTGCTGCGCCAGAACTCAATGGCTTGATCCTGCCACATCATTTTGCCACGAGAGGTGCCAACAGTTTCAGTGCTGGCACGCACCTCCTCTATATACTCAGCAAGATTCCAAGTGGACTTCTTCTGCCCAGCTTTCTCAGCCTCTTGAGAAGCCTGACGGTAGCTGGTGACGAGACTTCTCAACTTCTTCGGGTCAGCCTTGACATTCTTGAACCATTCAACCTTACCTTGTTGACGTGCCTTCTTGGAAATCACATCTAAAGCCTTCTTGCAGTCTTTGTCCACAGTCTGGTTCAATGCAAAATCAGACAAAGGTCGGCTCTTCTGGCAAGCTCTGCAAGTCTTGGCACCCTTCTTGGTAGTCTCAACTTTGTGTCGCCCCTTAAACTTAGACTCTGCTGAATCAGGTTCCTTTCCGCTTGTCCCTTTCTGTGGTGTGTCCTGTTGGTCTGATATAGAAACGTCCTCATCGTCTATGTCAGGAGCGAAAGAAGCCATCAAGAGGCACGACAGCCTGAGCCTGTTTCACTAACAGGCCGACAAGGATCACAAAATGGTTCACACCCTGCCACAGTGAGCCAACAACAAGACTGCAAACATAAAGGCTTGAGATTTGCACGGAACAGCTCAACTCTTGGAAACAAACTGCCAGCAAACATCACACAAGAAGACAATGAAGTTCGCGCTGGAAATCACGGCATTCAAACGCTTCTAAAATGTTTGCGCGCTGTCTGACATGGAACAAAAAATAGCTCAAGGTCGGAAGAAGCATGGTGGCTTTCGGAACTGAATGAAACTACCAGATGCAAGCTATGCCGCTATGCACAGATTCACTGAAGAGTCAGCACACCGTGGGTTTGTTACAGCTTGTCCTTTTTGTTTTCGCCTGATTATTGCAATCCGAAAAGCGCTACACTGCTAAAAATCGATGGCCAGAAGGCCAAAAGTGGACCTATCACAGGATCGGGGTCTAGCAGCCAGCTAAGAGAACTTCAACTTGCCTTGAAAGCCACGACTGAACTAGCTATCCAACCTGCTGTTCTGCATGGGCCATGTGGCTTTGAAGCCCAGTTGGAAAGCCAACAGATGACCAACCCCAAGGGCGAGTATCAAATCTCTATTGCAGGTTTTCCGTTGTAATGTTATATAATGCTAAAGCTGCTAAAGTAATTGAGTTACAAGTTGTTTACTCCATCCGTCTACAAAAGTGTTACCTCTTTCAAGTTCACAATTCTTTGTGAATCTGATACGTTAGCAGCTCCAAGCGTCCACACCTATCAAGCTCTGAAAACAAATCCATACCCATAGTTTCCAATTTTTTTTGGCATCTTCTCTCCAAACAAAGCTATGAAATGAAAGCTCACCCCCTCAAGAAGCCTGGCTTGACAGCTTCGTCCTGTGCGCACTGCCTGTTGCAGTCAAACCTGCCAAACTTTACTCTTTGTGTTGTTTCCGAAAGCGTGCGCATGCAGAAAAAGCATATCTTGATATTTATATACGATAACGGAGTAATTTTAAAGTGCAACCCCTGCCTAAGCAAGAAACCAAGGCGCAAACTGCTCCTTTCCATTCTTTTTGCTCTGCATCTTACAAATTTGAATGGGTCTGCCAAGTCATGCGGTGGCCCCCCCCAAGTCACTACTTCCTACTATCTTCCTACACCCAATGCGTGCTGCAGTCCACATAAAAACACAATAATGCTTACTTTGCTCGACCTTGCTCGACCTTGCTCGACCTCTGCTCGACCTTGCTCGACCTTGCTCGACCTCTGCTCGACCTTGCTCGACCTCTCCTCGACCTTTGTTTTGCCATTGTAAAGCTGTGTTCGACCACCTCCAGTGCCTAATTCCTCCTGGGGGTGCCCACCTAGTCGTGTTGTAAGCTTGTCCAAGTCTATGCAATAACAAGTCAAAAAACTGATCAAAAACTACCTGTTACAGGCTTAGAAGCTTGAACTCGAGACCTGCTTGGTTTGAAGCTTGCCTGTGGCAGCAGAACGGTTTGACGCATTTCTCTTTATCTTCATCCCCATTCCCCATGAACCCCTCTGCAACCCTTGTGCCACGAACTCGCATTTCCAGTCTAAATCCCCAGCCACTCATCTACGCTTTACAAGTATTACGCTGAAAGATCAACGGGAAGAATCTAACTCTTGGGAACCATCAGAATTGGAAGCTTGCAAGATCAACAACAAAGAGCTTTCCAAACACACATGTCTAAAAAGCAAGAATCATGCATTGGTTCTCTGTCATCCACGATCTTAGAACTGCAAAACATCAAGCCATCATGCAAAATACTGCGTTTCTGATGTTGGGACATTCTTTCTCTGCCAAGTGCCACAAGACAAAATGCATCTTGCAAAGAAGTGTGCTTGCAGCTAGCTGCATCTATTTTGCATGTTTTGCATCCTGGAAATGTTGACGAAATTCGTGTGAAACAACTTGCCACAAAACGGAAATCAATCACTGCTTGAATCGCTGTTGGAAGAATCATCGCTGCTACTACTCTGAGATGAAGTGCTGCATGACGACGCGGAGCTTTCTGCACCGTCTCCAGCACCAATGGCATCAGCTGAGTGAGAAGAGTTTGACCCGCCATGCCTGGCAAAGCGACAAGGGAGAGACCTTTCTTTCATAAGACTGAGTTTATATAATGACTTGTATTCAACGTTCTGGAAAATTATGGTTTCACAATTTGAAAATCTGCAGCTTTCACAAATGATCATCTTAAAGCTATGCCATGAAATCTCACAACTTGTTTCATGTCTTTGGAAAAGAAACCATTCCACAATATGGCTTCGTACCTTGAGGGCGAAGTGTTGAGCACAACGGTATTTTGGCAAACTTGAGTAGGGATATATATATATATATATAGATATAGTTATATGATGTATGGGAATGTCTCAAAATAGGAGTGCCCCAAGTGGGGGCCCCAAGCTCACTTTTTTTAACAAAAAAAAAGGGTTTGGGGCCCCTTGGGGCGCTCAGTTATGGCACCCCCTATTCTGAGATAGCAGTATGGTGATGGGATTTATGTGTTGGGAAAGTCTATTTCCAATACAATGTTACATACTGATTATTTTTCAAAGGCTTTACTCGGGGCAAGTTGTATGTGTATTTGGTGGATGCGTTGGAAGAGGGCAAGTGTATGATATCTATCTATTTTCAATCGGAACATGTTTCTTGGTGGGCTTGCCTTTTGAAAATTAAAAACGAGCGACTGTCTGGTTGTCACATGAATTGCTGAAAGCAGAAGTCTGAAAAGAAAACAAATTTGTCTTTCGGGAAAAGGCCCCACCTCCCTCGCCCACGACCACGTCCACGCCGCTTCGCGACAGCTTTGGCCTTGCCACGGCCACGGCCCTTAGCTTTGGGAGCAACAGCTGGAGCTGGCGCCCCCCCATCAGCAACTGCTCCTGCTTCTGCATCTAGCACATCATCACCCTGAACAGCCCCAGCTGGCCCTACAACAATACAACCGGCAGCAACAACTTCTTCAGCAGGAGCTGCATCAATCGACACATGGTGTTGAAGGTGAAGTCTCTGACGGTTATACCTAGAGGCGCTGTTGCACCACATCTTCAATGCACGAACACATTTGGAAAATTCCTCAGGGTCAGCGGAACGGAGTTGCAAATATTTCTTGCAATCTGTCCTGTTGTTCTTTTTGTGAAAAGGACATCTTGCTTCCACACCACCAAACTTTCGACCAGCTTTCTCGGATGGCTGCTTGACAGTAAGCCTGAAAACACCAAAGTTTGCTGGCTTCCCCAAGCGGGGTTGGGACCCCTCATCTTCTACGGGCGCAGCATCTAGAGCTGCTGCAGCTTCATCTACTGCGTCATCCATGGGCGAATGCAAAGACTGCGCGTCAACTACTGGGCTATCAATGGGAGGCGAAGCTGAGTACCCTTCACTACGGTCAGCATCATCAGATTGGTTTGATCTAGGCATATCTTCATCAAGCAAATCCAACAAGCCGTCTATGGAATCGGTGGGATCATGACCAGCATGGTCCCCTTCCTGCAATGAGAGGTGAGCTACGGCTTGCCCAGGCTCAGCCACTGCAACATCTTGAAGCGCTTCAACCGGAATGTCGGGTTCCAATGCTGGCATCGGCACTGCACGGCCAGGTTGTGGTCCCTCCCCTTTCAAAAGGGCAGGGTAAATCTCACCAGGCTTTTCAACCCAGTGGGGAATGCGGGCCAAACCTTTCTCAAACAAATCATCCGACAAAAGCAAGCACTGCAAGTAAGCTTTGCTAACAGAGTGGGATTGGCTGTACCAAACAAGTTCCTTCCCAGGCTCATGACACAACGCTTCACGGGCATTTTTCTTTGAAGGCATTTTTTTCCAAGACCATCCATTTTGCTCCAGGGCAAGAATCAATTCCATGAGGTCATATTGAGAAATATCACTGTTACGAAGGCTGCAAACTTGCTTCGGTTCGTGGAGAGGGCACATGACACGAACCTGTGGCAAAGCACACTCGGACATCAATATCCGATCTGATTGCCCGCTCCTGCAAACAAGGCCTCTGTCGATCAAAGACATGATTAAATCTGTCGGGAAAGTTGAAACGGCAGTTGGTTCCCCACCTGGAAGAGCGCGGGCATTCAGCAAATGAGTGACGCATTCAACCAAATCACTTTGTCTGATGTTTGGCAATCCTGGCAGAGAGTATCTCACATCTCGCGATGTACTTGCACATGTAAACTGAGTCCTTAAAACATTGAGAGGACAAGACTCCAGCGACGTCAAAATGTGTGGGACATCTTGGGTTGCTATGTCTATTTGTGGCACGCCTTCAGCATTGTAAACGCATTTGTGCACAGCAATCATAACTGCATCTTTGGCAAAAACTGGCGTGCTAGCAACTGGTCGCAACATGGATTTCATCCGTGCAGGAAAACCATGCAAGAGTCGGAAATGCAACTCTTCCCTTCCATGGTCAGCACCTTCAGCCATCTCAACAATTTCTAGAGGCTCTTCGTCAGCACCCCTCAGACACAAGCGTTTCTCTGCAGGACCTAAGAATGGTGCTACTTCGTAGCCAGCACTGTCATCTACCAGCACAGGCAGTGTGAAGAAAACATCTGAACCAGCCATTGCACGAAAATGGTCAACTATAGCACGCTTGAAAATATCTTCGTATGTTCTAGGAACTGATAATTTGGTGTCATGAAGTTTCTCGGCCTCCGCTTCTAAGACTTTCCGCTTTCGAAAATGGGTGGACCGTGCTTCATGCATGTCAGAAAATTGAGTTTCCAAGTCACACCTGTGCACAGCCCTAACCAAAGCCGCCAGCCACACACAAACATCGGTACAACCATCTCGCAGCAACGGCAGAAATATTGGATGGCTCAGCAAACCCAAGGCTGCAGCAGCCTTCTTTGGCTGCCGCGTCAAATCAAAACAAGGCTGCAGTCGGGCTGGAAACCCTTCCTCAAAACTGGAAAGATCCAAAATCTCACGCATTCGAAAAGACAAGCTCACCTTGGTGGGCCCCAGCCGTATGTGTTTTGCAGCAACCTTCACATCACGATGAAGTGCCTCCACACATCGCTCCACCACAGGAATAAACCGCAGCGAAGCTACAGCAAACATCAACTGGTCAGTCATACAACCACCATTTGCAAAACGTTGCAAATCTTCACGCATCCCAGTTTCTGACAGGAAGCGCACAGACAAGGGATGGTGATGTTCTAAAGTCATTCCTGGCTTGGACATAGAAGCATCAAACTCTTCAAGGCAATCTTGGGCAATCCTCCGCGCCACTGATGGCCAGTGGTGGCTTAAGCCAGCCAAGCGCCATGGAATTTGCCGCCAAAAACCAAACTTCGCCACGAGAACAACATGCAAATGTTGCTTTGCAAAATCAAAATCTTGCATCAGCACTGCTCTGTCAGCTGGTGTAATCCGGAAATCCATTTGATCAGAGAACAGATTCAAAGCAGCAGTGGAAAGTTCAGCAATAGTATCTTCAAGTTTGCCTGCTGCCAGCTCAGGGGCACGCTTACCTCTCATGGGGCAATCCACAAAGCGGACTGCACCACCAAACAACTGCCCCCTCTTCTTTCTCTGCCGTTTGCTGGACAATGTTGTAAACAAGTGCTCGTGGCAAGCACAATTCTCAAGCCAACGCTCGAGGTTGAGCAAAATGTTTTGCACACCATCAACCATGAAAACATAGCTACAAAACATCGGGTCAGCCAGAGCTACATCGAATGAAGCTCCAACATCACCTTCTGCATCCTTCCCGTCAATGAGAAAATCTTGAAGGTTCCAAACCCTTTTCAACAAGCGAAAATGGGGCAACAAATTCTTCAAAAATTTTGCAACCACCTGCCAGCGCTTTTCATACAGAGCTGGCAAAGACAGGGATGCAAACAGGTGTTCATGTTCTGCAGAGGCAGTCCCACGAACTAAGCGGGCAATGATCCGCTCGCGTAGATGCTGGGGCACAAGCAATGCTGCAACAGCTTTCAGGTGGTCCCAAAACTTGTCAAACCACAACATTTTGGTCCTCAGGTCTTGTCTGGCATTGTGAGTAATGTGCAGCCCACCAGGTGTCAGCAGTGCCTTAGGCATGATGGGAAAAGCATCAGCATCACCCACTGTCTCCTGATCTTCATCTGCAAGGTCGCTCTCCAAAGTTTGGTGGACATAGGTTGGCAATATTGAGTCCAAGTGCTTGGCTTGAAACTGTGGAAGCTGTGCCTCTACCCCTAAGTCTGTGGTCCAAGAAACAACGTTGTCAAGGTGACATCGCAAGCCTACTCTGCTACTGCACTCCAAACTCATAGCATGCAAAAGGCATGAGGTCTTATCCTCCACCGAAACCTTCCCTGAACCTAGAGCAACCGGAATGCATTTGTGGGTATGAATGGCATCCAGCAGGACCGTGTGCAAACGAGGTTGTTGTTCCACATCTGCATCCTCAGCCTCAAAATGATCACTGAGGTCAGGACGACACCTTGTCAACATGTTTGCAGCATTGCAAGCGTTCACCACAGCATCCATGCAAACAGAAGTATGCATGAGCATGAACCATTCCCTGCCACACTGAGGAGATGAGTCTGCCCAAGCATAATGAAGACACGGTACATTGCACCACCTCTCTCGACACTCAAGCAAGAATGCAAAATCCAAAGCAGACCCTGCACGGCCAATCGTTGAAGCTTTTGGGAATGAAGCATTTCGTAGCAGATTTGAAAGGTCAACACCTGGCAAAGCAACTTGCAAAGACAATGGAACCACATTGCAAACATGTTCATTGGAACCAAGCAAATTTCCAAGGCAGGCTGCGCTGATCAAGGTTTGGCTCGGGTACTGCACATGTCCACTTGTTTTCGTTTCCAAACAGCGCTGACCCCTCTCCAGAAAAGAAATGGTGTCCAAAATGTCCATTCTTAAAGCCCTGCTCTCATCTTCATCATTGCAGTGGGCCAAAATAGCCGGTGCCCAACTTCTCACACGGTCAGCAAGAATGGAAAACTTTTGAGGATCAAGAAAGAATCGCCCTTCTTGTGGCATTGGGACTTCATCAGGTGGCAACCCCCCATTTTCGATTCCAGGAAAAAGAGGTCTTGGTAATGCCCATGATTTCCGGAAACAGAAAGAAAACCAAAAACCCTTCAATAGAAGCGTTGCAAGTGGCTCAATGAGAGGCAAAGCAATGGCATCTTGACCCTGAAACCCCCAACGCTGCTGTGCAAGACGTGCAGGCCCCTTGGACAAAACTGTCTTCCCAGTGCAAAGTTCACCTGTGACATCCCAAAGCTCTTTGAGGGAGATCCCATACGGAAGAAATGGTGACAAGGCATTCCTTCTACGTTGCAGTGGGTACGTTTCTGATGATGGGGCGGCAATGCAAGTCATCACTGGAATCGGCGTGTCAAATCGGAAAACTTCTTTTGAAACCACAGTAAACCCATCTGCAGCATCTCTCCAAAATGCTTGCCACACAAACAATTCTTCCCTATGTGAATATTGCCGGATGACATCTCCAACCGCAATGCCTGGAACGGCTTGCACCAAACCACTCAAAACATAAGTTGGTGACTGTGAATGTGAATCTCTTTGCTTTGGCCTCGGAATCCCACACTGATCCAATGCGGCCTGCAGGTATGGGTGGTCTGGCAAAGTGCACCTTTGCCTTCCATTCTCATCACTTTGCACCCGTGCAGTATGGTTTGCAACAGAACACAAGAAAAAAACATTTGCCATGGCCAGGACCGGCCGCATCGCGTCAAGAGGAGTATCTGAAAAACAATGCCATTGTTTCATCTTGGATGCTAATCCATAAATTATTGTTTGCAGCCAGTTTGCTAGGAATTGATGAAAACTTGTTTGAAAAAATGTTCGGAAATCAAACCAAATCAATGAAAATTGAAGCCACATTATCTGTGTCGCAACGGGCATTGAAAAGCCCAGCTTGCTTGCTTTGCTGAAAACTGCAACGGCGAACCAAATTTCCGCCACCTTGCCAAACAGCAATCTTCAAGTCTCCAAGTCACCAACCATGTGACTGCCTGACCTCTAGAAACAAAACACCCTACATCTGCATACCACCAAAATATTTCCAAAATTGCACATGAGCAAACTGGATTCCATAACAGCATGTGATTCTTCACTGGGACATCTGTGCAACGCTTTACCAAAGTGAATCAACCCCTCAGGCATGAAAACGATTCAAATCACAAAAAAACATATTAGACAGCTGCCGATATCCAGTTCGAAATTTGTAGCAAACAGGAAATCTGAGAGTTGCAGCGTTGTAAATTTCCCCTTGGTTTAGACCTTGCCAAATGGACCCCCCCAAGTCTGGGAAAATCGCATTATTTCCTGTGTTTTGGCGCCAATTTTTGGGACTTGGTGGGGTCCATTTTGGGGGGGCCCACCCACGGGAAATTTGGTATTGCAGCGTAAACACAACACACACAAATTTGTATTTCATGGAAGGTTCCAACGGTTGTTGCCTGGCTAGGTTAGACATACTGTTTTTGCTCCACGCTTTAAAACTGGGTGCAAACATACTGCGCCCAGCGCTGGCTAGGCAACAACTAAAAATATCACATCGCGTTCACACTTAGCGCGAAATGCGGACACGAAAATGTCAGAACTCCTAGGTCTGCCCCTTTCACTCCAAGGACCCCTTTCAAAGGAAATTGTGTTAATTTGCATCATTTCTGAAACAGACATGCTAGTGGGACCTGTTTTAAATCCAATCCATTGCTTCCGGCTTCATGAACTCTTGAATGTCGTTTGGCTTACCATGAAAATCTTAGCGGGGCTGTTTGTCTGCCATGCATTCTCGCTTCTGGATTCTGGAATTCGTTATACGTGACAAAGCGTATCAGAAATTAAAACCAGAACCATGCTACTTCAAACCTGGGTCAATTTTTTTTCTTATTCGCGAAACCCCAAAAAACAAACAGTTTCCTAGAAGAAAAAACTTTTTCTCCTTGAGCCTAAGCCCCGTCAGGGGTTCAGAATTTGGTCACTTTCATACTTGCGAGGCAACCTCACAAAGTGCTTCATTGCAATACGGGCCCTCTACCAGCATGACCCATCCTCCACGCTAGCAGAAGCAGCAAAGGGAGGCACACCAGCACCCCGGCTCTGGGAACACTTTTTAAATCGGGCTCAATTGCACGAATGGCAAAGCACATTGCCAGCAAATTGTAAAGAAGTGTCCTTCACATTCTAGAAGCCAGCAGAGGGCAACTATCAGAGACCTAGACGAAAGTTTATAACTTACAACAGGTGCGAGATACACAAACAAAAAGTGCGCTGGAGGAAGCTCAAAAACTGCTAGGCTGGGTTTTGAACGAATCAGTCTGCTTTCTGCAACCAGATATCTCTGCTTATTTACAGCCTACTGCATTTCAGTACGATGCGATGCATTGCTACTGGTCAAATGGCCAGGTCAATTGCGAAGTTGGCCTGTTTTTTTCACAGGCAGTTCGGCTTGCCAACCTCGACAATAGACAACTGACACATTTTTTTGAAAGAACATGGAGAAGAACTCAGATTCGCTTTGAGAAGAGTTGCAGTCTTCAAAGCTTGTTCCACCACAAGCTACTGAGAAAAGATTCCGATTACAAAGGAGATGCAGTACAAACCTTGGAAATTCTTCCTTTGCTGGCCTTCTTCGCTAGTCAGGAGCTGCAGTATTGCCAAGAACTGGCTCCAAACATCCAGTCATTGGTAGCTCTGTGGCATGTTACAACGCATATCTTAAATGCCAAACAAAACATTGATGCCATCCATGGACTTCAAAGACTGCAGGAAATTCATTTGGAATACTTTGTGCAGGCTTACTCAGAAGAAAAGGTCAGGCCAAAGCATCACTTTGCAGGGCACATTGAGCAGCAAGCATTGGAGACGGGTGTTCTTCTTGATTGCTTCCCAGGGGAACGAAAGAACAAAACGTTCAAAAACGTGCTGTGTCCCAATATCAGTCGCTTGCAAGGATTTGAAAAAGCCGTATTACTCAGGTGGCTAGAATACGACTTGCAAAGTTTGGAAACCTTCACTGACAATGTTCTCCTACTAGCACAATTTGAGTCCATTGGAAATGTTCGAGTTGGAAAGGGTCTCCGCTGCTATTGGGGTGAAATCAAAGCAGGGCACATCCTACTTCTCAATGAAACGACAGCAGTGGAAGTGCTTGGGTGCACGCAAGAGAATCTAGTCTAAGTTGTGCGTGTGTGTATGTAACAACGTTTTTACTTTGAAAGTCCCGCAATTGACTGCATAGTTTGGGACATATGCCGTTTGTTTGGGTTATATATATATACTTCGTTTTGCAAGAGATGTTCCTTTCTTAGAACCATACAGCTCGTCAGGACTGAAACCTTTGTCTTTGGCATGAAACTACGCTGCGTATCCAAAGAGAAGCATCTTTTGTGGAGCCAATGGGCAAGAACTTCGGAAGAAACCATGGTGCCGCTGACCCGAACCAGAACCAGTTTGAGAACCTCCTTCTGCACAGACAAGAAGGATCCTATTGTGATTCTACGCTTAAAAAAATGCAACCCTGCTTTGGCGCGGTCATAACCGCAGACGGCTGAATCCTACGTTTCTCTGTTTGGTGAAAAGCTCTGTGTCTTTTTGAAGAGTTGATATCCCGGCATGGATACCATGAAAAGGAACATGAAATGGAGATTCCGTCTTTGATTCAGTATATATATATAATACTATATTATATATTATATATGTGGGACCCCTGTTGATGAACACATTTCCCAGCAGATTTAAAAATGTAGAAGTTCATTCCTATAGCGGTCATATAACCGCATCTCGGTGATCACCGAAACCACTGTGCAAACCTCATTGTTACCAGGGTGGTGCTAAAAAGTCGGATGCATGTGCGCACGCACGCGTGAGCGTTTATAAACGCAAATCAAACTTTGTTTTTTCGTAGAAATGGCTGCTTTCTTGTTGAACAAAAGGATTGAAAACGGGGAATGCCATTTTTAGCCATTTATGACAACAAAAAACAACAAAATGAAATGCGCAAAAAAAAGCACCCAAAGAAACTTACAAAAGTTACGCTCTAAGTTTTATATCTTTTTATCTACTACTTATAACTAGATACAAGTAAAAACCTGACACCTTAGTGGTCAAACGGCTTGTCTCGGCAATACGGGATCAGCCGGTCACTCTCCGATGTGTCGCTCACCAGGTGCGTCTTGGTGCCCTGGCGAAACCACTTGATTTCAGCTGCTGCTGTAGGGTCCGGCAAAATGCCCACCAGGTCATCCGCATCGGCGGAGATGTCAGAGGCCGAGCTGCTGTCATCGCCTGAGGCACCTGATGCCGCCTCTGGCTCCCCTGCCGGCTCCTCAAGGGTAGCGGCCTGGTCGTCCGGCTGCTCCTCACCTGGTTGCTCAGGCGCCGGGGCCGCCGCATCCGTGATAGCAGCGGACAGGTCTGGATCGGCTGCTGACCAAGGAGTCTGCCGGTGCAACGCCTGCAAGTCAGGCCAACGCCAGGAGTCAACAGGCAGCAGGCCCTCGGCAGTGAGGGACACATGCTGCCGTTGCAACTTCCACAGCTCCAGGAAGCGCTCCAGGAGGCGCACCTTGACCACCGCCGAGCGCAGCACCTTATGGCCCCCGTAGTGGCGGCCCATCGTCATGGCAGCCTTGGGTCTCGGTGCAGTGAGGCCACCTCCCTGTGGGACCTCAGTCCAGTTTCCCACCGCTTGCGCATCCACATCGGAAATCTCCAGCACATTACCCAGCGTAGGCAGGAAACGCCTCAGCCGGTTAAAGGTCGCCCCCTTCGCTGAGTGGGTATCCAAACCACACTGCATGAGGGCACCCCGGAAGATTTCCAGGAAGCGTCCCCTGGACATCGGCTTTCCAAGGACCAGCGGGGTAGTCTCTGTGACTTCCCAGAGGTTGTCCGCAGCCAGCTGCAATGCTGGTACCAGGAAACCCGCCGTGGCCAGCACTTCATGCCGGTAAAAATCCTCGAGGATGCGGCCAACACCATGGCCTTCCCAGCACCATTCTGGTAGAGCCCATCCATACGCTGGCCTGGCTCCCTTCTTCCGAGCTTTGCCTTGCTGGCAGTGGAATTCAATCCACTTGGTGTGGCCAGCCACGAAACTCGAGCGCTGCAGGTGTTCCCAGCGAACGCAAGAGATCGCCGCCATCACCACCCAGGCCAACAGGAGCTTATGGTTGCCCTTGGCACGGCCGAAGAGGCAAACCAAGTTGATCAGCTCCCAGGGCTGAAGCTCCGGGGCCTGCCTCGCTGTGTGGGTCACAGCGTGGAAGCGGTAAGGGGCCACCATGGGGTGCGACAGATCCAGTGCCGCACCAGCCTGGTCTGCGAACCACTTCAAGGCTGCATGCATCGACGATGCCGCTGTGGGCCCCCCCTGACTGACACAGTGCAGGTAAGTGGCCAACTGGAACGGCTTCGGTGCGTTAGGCGCCCACTGCCTCTCCTCACAAAACTTCACCCACCTCTTGAAGCTGCTGATCAAAGCACCCAGCCTCTGGGTCGACAATCTCTGGGCCCCGTGGAGCACAGTCTCACGGACCTTTGTGCGACCCAGCGGGTCAGCCAGGAGGGCAGTATCGATGCCCAGCTCCTGCAAGTCTAAAACGTAGTCAACCAGCAGGTGGAAAAGGAGGTCCAACTTAGTCTGCTTGGCTACGTCTGCTTTGGTGCTGGCCGGTGCAGGACCAGGCCCAGACACCACAGTGGATCCAGCCGAGCCTGTCCCAAGGCCCACCAGGGGCTTCATTCCGCGGCTGCTAGCGGCCGCTTCACGGCTTCCACCGCGCTCAGCAGCACCCGAGGGGTACACAGACTGCCGCTCGGCTACTACGAGCTCAACTGCGTGCTTCTTTGTCTTACGGGCCAGCCCATGAACCCGAGCATAAGTGCACGCCACATCCATGCTAAGGTCGGCATCCACACGTGTCCCCATCACGGCATGCAGGGCATCCATGAACAGGTCCACATTGGGGTACAACCCTACTACATCTGCCGCCGTCTCCACTCCTTCAGCGCCCAGGCGTGCAAGGAGGGGGAGGGGGAGATCCAGCAGGATGTCCACCACCTCAGGCGCCATACCGGCCGTCACCTCTTTGGCCGTGCGCGGCGGCACGGCGGGTGATGGCGGCCGCGTCCGGCTCGCCATCGGCCGAGAGGACCTCCCTGAGGGGGATCCGGAGCGGGGGGTCAATGGTCTGGAAGACTCCCGCTGCATCATGGAACCCGGAGATCTCGACGATCTCCTCTTCCTGCGGCGTCGCCGCTTCGTACGCCGCTCGGGCGCTTCGCCAGGACTTGCCGGCACGCTCACAGGCGTGGCAGATCGCCTCCGCGGCATCGCACACAGTGCAGATAGCCGTCGCAGGCCGCTGGCAAGCTTCGCACCAGCAGTGCGTCCACACGCCGCACCTATCGCAAGGCAGGGCTCCCAGGCCTCTGTCCTCGCGATGGGCAGCCGCAGTCGCCACCGCAAAGGCCGCGCGCAGCTCGAAGCTCTCCAGCCGCTGCTCGCGCGTGACCTCCCTATGATTGAACCCTGGATGGGTGGTGAGCCACAGCTTCGCCGCACCCTTCCAGGAAGTCCAATCAATAGGCCGAAGTGCCATGGACCCACGCAGGCGAAAAACCAAAAGTGGGTCCTTGAGCCAAAATTGGCATCAAGGCCCAAAAGGTATCAACACTTTCACACCTCATAAAGCCCCTACCCAACCAACCTACGGTTATGAAGGGGTAATACATCATGCATCATTGCCCCAAACAGCCTCCCCACATCCTGATGCCTTGCTGCGAGGATTGAGCGCTCCCATGCCCTTTGTCAGATGTTGCAGTCGGAGCTCAAAAAGCTCTTGCTCCAAGAGCTGTTTCTCCCGTTGAGATCTTAAGCTCTCCTGCCAAGGTGGTCGAGCCAAACCCCCTTCAAAAAAACATTGAAAGTCACATGGGATCATCAAATTGCAAAACATGTCAAACCTGAGTCAGAGGTCGTGAGACTCATCTGGGTTATCATGTCATTCGCTTGGGATGAACATGTCATTCGACTGGTTTAAGGAAAAAAACACGGGAACCAAATGCTGTCCTTGAGATTTTCCCGGACACATGTTGACTGAGATAATTAGAGGGATGCACTAACGTGGCTGTTGGTTCCAAGCCAACTAAACAATGAAAACAATGTCATGATGATCTAGTCACCTAGGCATTTCATCATATTTCTGACATGTCCTGGAGTTTCCTGGTAGTTATACGTCCATCCCATAGCCACTGCTTGTTGCTTTCCCTTTCTGGTGTGGTCTTCCTCCTGACCAATGCGAAACCTTAAAATCCCCCGAAGAAATATAGAACAGTCACTGCTTGGTGCTTTGGAACATGATTTGTTTTCCATTCAGTTGGGAATTTCATCATTCCAACTGACGAACTCATATTTTTTCAGAGGGGTAGGTACATTCATTTACATACTTACTAACAGCATCTTGGTACGATTTCACGGTTCTGATAATCTTATATAGGGGGGTGTTATACCATACTATGATCATACTAATAATATACGTACGATATTGTACTACTTATATGTGTTATATATATACTATTATTATTAGTTTTTTTATTATTATTATTATTACTATGAGTAGTAGTAGTTGTATTATTATAATATTATTATTATTGTTATATATTATAATCATTATTGTCAGTATTATCATGATTTATTGCTATTATTACTATTAATTATTATTATCTATATCTATAATCTAATTATATTATAATCTATATTATATTTTATATATTATATTATAGTATGTTATATGTTTTTTATTATCTATATAGTAAATATTATATTATGATATATTATATTATAATATATACGTATCATAAATTATATATCATAATATATATCTCATATCATATATAAATCCCCATAAGAAAAACACCATAAAATTCTTATTGCCAGCCATCTTGACCCTGCCCCCATCGCTATCTCCTCTTGAAGGCTTTGCAACACCCCCGGCTCCAGTTGCCGTCGCTTCTGCAGGCCCTGCAGCACCGCTTTCAGCGAGCTGCTCGCCTGGCGACGTTGAGACGGTTGCATGGGATGTTCACCAGCCAATGATGTTGTGGTTCCTTACTAGTCTAAAGATGTCTAAAGAAGTCTAAAGATGTCTAAAGTACAACCCCAAAACATGTTTATATGTATATATATACATGTTTAGTAATGTTTATACTATATTGATCTATCTTATACTTTGATTTTGTTCCTGGCCCCGCTGCGAAACCCCCACGGCGTTTCACCCACGCCTTTGTGGTTGCCTCGGCCAAGCGCTCTTCGAGCTCCGGAAAGGAGAGGTTCAAAGCCTGGCGAAGCCGGAAACGTTTCAGCTCCAACAAACGTCCGGAAGGTGGGAAAACACATTAACAAAACATTGAACAACCATGAAAAACCATGAAAAACCCAACAAACTTAGAGGTAGAACGAACATCAATAATAAACGCATTGTAAAATTTTGGGGTAGAACATGGTCGAAATTATATCAATGAGATTCAATGGGTATGGAAGATGATAAAAATCGAAAACTGTCAGGATGGCGAAGATACACTCTTTTGAATCCCGAAAATCCATGGTTGGCTCCTGCCTTGGGTTGAAAGCGCTGAGACAGCTTAACTCAGCAGTTAAGCTAAGGATGATCGTTGGAATATGGGTCCAAAAATGTCCGAAATTGAGTACCTAAACAAGGGATCCGCGCTTTTGGCCATCCCCAACCCACGGTTGGTTGACGAAGCACCCAGGCCTTGCTCTTGGAAGAAGCACGTGGAGATGCACTGAGCCGGTCCTGCAAAGAACCTGACAATGCGCGACGAACATGACAGATCCACATGGCAATTTCATGGGACAAATTTTGATGCGCCATTGTTGGGGCACAACATTTTTTGGGGGCAAACTACAAAATGGAAAGGGCATGGTTTTGAACATATCAGAGTCCAAACCATGCTCGCTATTCATGCTACCATGCAGTGAAATCTATTGACCCTGTCATCAGAACACGTTGCGTTTTTTTGGAAGATCTGACACCCTTGATTTGGATCTTATGTCCTATAAGCATAGACTGGTGGAACCCCAACTACAATTCCCTGTTTGCTGGTGATTCTAGTCCCTAGTATACATTTACTGAATGCCCCTCCCCAAGTGATGGCTCAATATCTACCTGATCATGCAACAAGTCAGCTGCTTGTAGTCCCCCCCCTGCTTGTTGCTGAATAGCTCATCTAATTCAAGTCCCGATTTTCTGCATGGAGCTGCTGAAATCCTAGTTTTGCTGCCTGCAATTCCGATTCCGATGTTTTGACTTTCTACAACCACCCCTGGTATGTTAATTCCGTCTTCTTGGTTGAAGCTCCATGTTATTTTTGCTGCTTCTACATACTCACCATGGTTTGTGGCTTTACAACCCACAATCTTCTGATATAGATAGTCAAATTCATGTCAGCACAAGAGCTTAATTACATGTCATAAACCCGTGACCAACCTCTCATTTGGGGATGGATTACAATACATCCCATTTATATCCATCTATGGTCATATTGGGGATACTTAATCTGGTTGGTGGTTGAACCATCTTGAAAAATATTAGTCAATGGGAAAGATTATCCCATATATGATGGAAAATAAAAAATGTTTGAAACCACCAACCAGTAATAGTTGCTTGGCTTTACCACATGAACCCGATGTTTCTCAGAGGATCGCTCCTCCCCAGCTACACTTTCTTGCGCTCCAAGCCGCTCAGGAAGCTCGACAGGCCGTTGGCATTTTGACTGTTGTTCTCCGCTTCCATCAGCAACACTCCGCGGCTTTGCCTGGAAACTAGATCTAAGAGGTGACTCATGACACGTTTGGGGTGCACTGTAGCAAACTGAACTTGGATCTGCAAGTAAGTGGCTAATAACATTTTATAACCATTCAAAATATAACCTGGTTATATGATGGTTATTGACCCAGTCATTAACCTAGTTATTAACCTCAATAACCCATGATCAACATATAATATCATGTAACCATCATATTACCATCATACATCCCAGTTATACATCGGATATAACGGTATATACATTTATAAATAACCTGGTTTTACTATATAATAGTTATTAGCCCAGAAATATTAACCCAGCTATAAACCCGTAAAATAACCCAGTTCTACATATATATATATATAAAATATAATATAGTTATATATATATATATATATTATAGTATATACATTGTACCTCTAAGAAGATACTTTGGCGCCTCATCAGTTCGCGTTTCAGCTGCGAGTTCTCCCGGCGCAAGTCTTCGCACTTCGCCACGCTGAGATCCTTCTGCCGCAGAGCCTCGATCCTCGTGAAGAAAAAAACCGAAAAAGGGTGGGTTCACGAAGAAAACCAGGGGAAAATCATCGTTTTCTGGGGAAAAAGGTGGTTAACACCATGTTAAAACCATGAATTTACATTGATTTTAGTCCGTTACATTGATTTTTGTCCTTTAACATCAGGATTTTCTGAACATGTTCCCATCATCCAATTGTGGACCTGGGATGGGTTCATCAGCGTTTCAATCTGGTCCCCCAGACATATGAGTAGCCGCATAGCCGCACATTTCAGTCAAATAGATTCAGCATGATTCAGTTTGTAACAGTATTTCTGTATTACCATAGCTGGCTTTGATTTTCTAGGGATGGAAGCGGTTTGAAACAATCTTGCTTGGATCACTACCCTCTCGTAATGGAACAAACTTGCTTTGAAACAATAGACATGGAAAATCTGCAATTCATGGATTATGATTGCCTTTGACACGTTGTGATTTTCCATGCAATTGTTGAATTACTGGAGTGTAAACCAACTAGGGATATATTCGGGCCGAGTGCTTTTCTTCTAACCTGATGATATTGTGGCCGCGTTTTGGAGTAATACATTAATATGAACCAAGACTTTCACGGCGGTATAAGGTATAATTTACCAAACACCTGGATATAATCCATATCAATGGGATATCAAAATCCAACTGAATTGACTGGTGGTTGAACCACCCGTCGCAAACTGATATGAGTCAGAGATGGATCATCATGGGGATGTCACTGATGTAGCCAAAGCTGGCAAATTCTGTGGTGGGTAAATGTAAAGAATCTAAACAGTGTGCTGCATCCACAGCCAATGTGAAACAAAACATGGAATCGAAACCATCGAAACCATCGAAACCAACAACAGCCCTCGTTGGAGAATTTTGGTAACCCTTTCAGGTGACCCTTTCAGGTCAGTCATGTCCTCGCCATCATTTCCGAGGCTCACTTGTTGATGAGCTTCCTCCAACAATCCATCAGAGCCATCAGAGTTTTGCTGCCTCTTTCCTGCTTGGGTTGAAGAGCGATCATCTGATACTTCGAACATCACAAGAACAGCTGGCAGAAAAACAGAACCATTCCAACTGTCAGAGAAAGACGACAAACGCAAACCAGTTCTCTTGAAGTTTCATTCTGTGAATCAAATAACTGATATTTCATCCGCATTTATCCGCCATGCTGATTTTTCACAATGGCTATATGAGTCAAAACTCTGGTACCCCTACCACCAAAATAGCTGGGATTCATGGATGTTTATCCCAACTTGCACCTTCGCTGGAGTCCGGCTGGAAACTGGTCAGCCCAACATCCTGCAGCCCGGAGTCGTCACCCAGTAGCCATCGGTTGGAGATGTTTGGATGATGTGTTGGAGCAGGTTTTGGAGGATGTAGAATAATATTCTAACAGTTTATATATAGCATCAACCAAAATAATCCAAAATGGATCATCCAGTGCTGGGCCCACTGGGGGCGTAACAAGAATCCCACCCCTTTACCGAAGCAGAAACATCTATGAAACATCCAGCACCTTGTAAGCTCACGGACTCACTGAGATCAGAAAAACTGGCAGCCAGGAGGACACGGACACAAATCTGAAGAAACAAAAATACCCCGGCAAGAGAACCCTATCAGTGTGGAGGAGCGGGAGGATAATGCATGATCATGTGGATGATGCTGCTGTTGATGTTGATGGTGATGATGAAGATGAAGCTGAAGATGAAGATGAAGATGATGATGAAGATGATGATGATGATGATGATGGTGATGATGATGATGATGATGTGCCACGTTATACGGAAATTTGCAGGTAAAATGCTGCAGGCCAGAATAAGCCCAGAACGCGGACACACACTTTGTGCGAGCCTGCGCAGTCGAAGTGCATGTCAACATTTCACAAGAGCCACTTTATACAGAAATTTACAGGTAAAATGCCACAGACCAGAATGAGCCCAGAACGCGGACACACACTTTGTGCGAGCCTGCGCAGTCGATATGCATCAACATTTCACAAGAGCCACTTTATACGGAAATTTACAGGTAAAAGGCCGCAGACCAGAGTGAGCACCCCCGGATCAAGCACCGGCCTTTACACCTACCGTAAGAACCCGTCAGTCAGTGTGGACACACTGTTTGGGGAAAAAAGGCAGTGGTTCTTAGTTTCTCCATTTTTCTCCGCAACTTCCTGAACCCATAGGATCCATGGTGCTGCTATATATGGTAACATTTACCATCAATATACCCCAAATGATAGCATATACCAGCACCATGGATCCTATGGGGAAACACCCATAGCCCCATATCCCCCAGATTTTCGGATCCTGAAACGGATCACTCTCTGAGGTCTCTGTGCCATGACCCTCGTGCAGCGTTTTGCGCTTGAGCGCCTGGCTCCAAGCAGGCTGTAAAATGATTTCATACTTTTGATTTGGTTTGGCAGTGAGGACTATCTAACTATCTATTTATCTATCTATCTATCTATCTATCTAATTAATCTATCTACCTAATCAATTTATCTATCTAATTAATCTATCTAACTATCTATCTATCTATCTAATTAAATATCTAATTAACCTATCTATCTAATTAATATATGACGGTTTGTCAAAATGTCTGGTCCCGGTTTTGTTGATAAATCGCAATTCCATGCGTGCCGCCTCATGTTTGCCTTTAAAAAACATGACCTACCTTGATGACGTGAAAACGTGAAAATTCTTCGTTACCTCTGGAAATCTTTCTAAAACCACAGGAATCGGCTAACGCACGTCGGTTTTCATTCGCTGTCGCTGGTACTATCTCCTGAACTGTGTGTCTCTGTGTGTCTCTGTGTCTCTGTGTGTGTTGCTAGCGAGGATCTAGCGCGTAAAATATGTAAAAAAAATCGAAAATTTGGGAATATGTGGAAACTGACAGACTCGTAAGAAAAGCTGGCAAGACATTCACGACATGGAGGCCATGGCTATCAATCAAACCTAGCGCAAACCTAGCGGGTTTGCTAGCGCTGCCTTGCAGAATTGCTGAATTTAGTTGCGTGCCGCCTCATAACGAAGAGGAAAAAACAGTAGACCCAGATGAATTATCAACAACCAATACTAAACTGCTAAACAACTATATTTGACAAATGGCCATATTATCTATCTAATGAATCTATCTATCTAGTCTAATCTAATCGAATCTAATCTAATCTATATCTATCTATCTGGAATCTATCTATCTGTCTATCTATCTGTCTGTCTGTCTATCTCTCTCTCTATCTATATCTATCGATCGATCTATCTATCTATCTTTCTATCTATCTGCAATCTATCTATCTGCAATCTATCTATCTGCAATCTATCTATCTGGAATCTATCAGGAATCTATCTGGAATCTATCTGGAATCTATCAGGAATCTATCTGGAATCTATCTGGAATCTATCTGGAATCTATCTATCTGGAATCTATCTGTAACCTATCTGGAATCTATCTGGAATCTATCTAGAATCTATCTATAATCTATCTATAATCTATCTATAATATATTTATAATCTATCTATAATCTATCTATAATATATCTATAATCAATCTATAATCTATAATCTATATTCTATATTCTATATTCAATATCTATCTATCTATCTATCTATCTCTCTATCTATCTATCTCTCTCTCTATCTATCTATCTCTCTATCTATCTCTCTATCTATCTCTATCTATCTCTATCTCTATCTATCTCTATCTATCTCTATCTATCTCTACCTATCTCTATCTATCTCTATCTATCTCTATCTATCTCTATCTATCTCTATCTATCTCTATCTATCTCTATCTTTCTCTATCTATCTCTATCTATCTCTATCTATCTCTATCTATCTCTATCTATCTCTATCTATCTCTATCTATCTCTATCTATCTCTATCTATCTCTATCTATATCTATCTATCTATCTCTATCTATCTCTATCTATCTATATCTATCTATATCTATCTATATCTATCTATAACTATCTATATCTATCTATATCTATCTATCTCTATCTATCTATCTATCTGTCTATCCCTCTACCTCTCTATCTCTCTATCTCTCTATATATCTATCTCTCTATATATCTATCTCTCTATCTCTATCTATCACCTATCTATCTATCTATCTATCTTATTTTATCTTATCTTATCTTATCTATCTATCTATCTATCTGGAATCTATCTGTCAATCTATCTATCTGTCTGTCTGTCTATCTATCTATCTATCTATCTGGAATCTATCTATCTATCTATCTGTCTGTCTGTCTGTCTATCTATCTATCTGAAATCTATCTAAGCTGTCTATCTATCGATCCATCCATCAATTTATCTATCTTGCTATCTGGAACCTATCTATCTATCTATCTATCTCTATCTATCTATCTATCTATCTATATATCTATCTGTTTATCTATCTCTCTGGAATCTATCTATCTATCTAATCCCCTTGCCAATACACGGGTTTAACCTGGGGGCTTCAATTTTATAGGGGGCCCAGGCCTATCCTTTGAAAATGCCCAAATGGGACCACTACAAAATTAAAGTTCACACATGCACATACATAATCAGCCCTATAAAATCACAACCTGCTAGCAACCCATCAATGTCATCAAACCCAAAAACACTACAAAATTGCAGTGCCCAGGTTAAACCTGTGCAGGGTATTAGCTCCAAATGGACCTCTATAAAATTAGAGCCCACCAAAATGGCTTGATCATAGGTGTTTTTTTAATTAAAATTTGATAAAATTTGGTGTCCCAAGTCGAATTTTGGGGGGCCCTCTATTTTCCTTCGATTTTGTGGTCCCCAATTTTATCTCAGTTAAAGTAAGGCCCCAATTTTGTAGTAATCGAACCCTTGAGCGCTCGGACGTAGCAAAAACATGCAAAACTATGCAAAAACAAATAGGTGCTATAAAATTGGGACCCTGGAATGCAGCACATTGGAGGTCGCTACAAAATTGGAACCCTGGAATGCAGCACATTGCAGGTCGCTACAAAATTGGAACCCTGGAATGCAGCACATTGCAGGTCGCTACAAAATTGGAACCCTGGAATGCAGCACATTGCAGGTCGCTACAAAATTGAAACCCTGGAATGCAGCACATTGCAGGTCGCTACAAAATTGGAACCCTGGAATGCAGCACATTGCAGGTCGCTACAAAATTGGAACCCTTTGCTGAACAAAACCATACAAAACCAACACATGTCCCTATAGAATTGGAGCCTGCTATAGAATTGAAGCCCTAGGTCACTAAATTTGGGTGGACCTTGAGGGCTGCAATTTTATAGTCCCTAAAAACTGGCTTCGATCAGGGGCTCCAATTCTATAGGGCGGGGGTGCTCTCCAAAAGGATCCCGCAAGGCAAAGGCATGCAAAGGCACTGTAGAAGCAGCCTCAGCAGCTTCAGCTGCAGAAACAGCAGTCCCTAATTTTATAGTGGGGATATATGTGATGGTATGATATAAAATGATATGTGATGATATGATATAAAATGATATGTGATGATATGTGGGGATTTGATGGGATTTGATGGGATTTGATGGGATTTGATGGCTTCTTACATCGTGCTTCTACATGCTTTAAGAAAAACCAAAAAATGCCAAAAAAATGTCAGGTTTTGGGTGGACCTTGAGGGCTGCAATTTTATAGTCCCTAAAAACTGCCTTCGATCAGGGGCTCCAATTCTATAGGGGGGGGTGCTCTCCAAAAGGATCCCACAAGGCAAAGGCATGCAAAGGCACTGTAGAAGCAGCCTCAGCAGCTTCAGCTGCAGAAACAGCAGTCCCTAATTTTATAGTGGGGAGCACCCCCCCTATAGAATTGGAGCCCCTGATCGAAGGCAGTTTTTAGGGACTATAAAATTGCAGCCCTCAAGGTCCACCCAAAACCTGACATTTTTTGCCATATTTTTGTTTTTTTCTTAAAGCATGTAGAAGCACGATGTAAGAAGCCATCAAATCCCATCAAATCCATTCAATTCCCATGTTTTGTTACATGTTTTTGTTCATGTTTTCCTCTTCTCCAGCATGCGCATTGCGCATGCTTGAGCGCTCTGATGTAGAAAAAACATGCAAAAACAAATAGGTGCTATAAAATTGGGACCCTGGAATGCATTACATTGCAGGTAGCTACAAAATTGGAACCCTTTGGTTCATGAAACCATGCATTGATACACTATAAAATTGGCAACTGAACAAAACCATACAAAACCGACACATGTCCCTATAGAATTGGAGCCTGCTATAAAATTGGCGCCCTAGGTCACTAAATTTAAGCACCGAAAAAAAATATAAAATTAGGACCCGGAGTTTTGAGATAAAATTAGAGCCCGCCAAAACAAGGCAAACAGGGCAGCTGAAATTGAGGGGGGACCTGTATAAAAAAATCGTTTTATACAGCACCTAGGTGTCCCAATTCTATAGGGGAAACTGGCTGGGGGATTCTATCTATCTATCTATCTATCTATCTATCTATTTAGCTATCCATCTATCTATCTATGTATCTATCTATCTATCTGTTTATCTATCTATCTGGAACCTATCTATCCATCTATCTATCTATCTATCTCTATCTATCTATCTATCTATCTATCTATCTGTTTATCTATCTCTCTGGAATCTATCTATCTATCTATCTATCTATCTATTTAGCTATCCATCTATCTATCTATGTATCTATCTGTTTATCTATTGATGAACGTAAACCATGATGGGGATCCGTATCAACAAAGCGCGGTAACGGAACGGATGACCTTGCTGGCTTTGAACTATTTCGGGGATTGCTCTCAGGCAAGCCAGGCTGGATCCGATGACTATCTTGAGACGCCGGGAGCGACCGTCAGTCTGCCCGGCACCCCGGATACATATACATAATAAAAACAAGACTTATATAGGGTCCTTGTTGGCACGATGAAGGCTGAACATGAGATGCCTGGCTGCCTGTTGCATCAAGCTGCCTGGACAAAAATGCATTCCCGTCGCGAAAACTGTGGAGATCTGATGTTTGCTGGTGAAATATTCCGACATCCGCGCAATTTGAGACAGGATAAGTCTACTGACCTGATTATTTATACTATACTTATTATATCTTATTATATCTTATTAATTTATTGTATCTTATTATCCATTTACTCCAACCAAATCACCACATTTACTGGCAACATCGCTCATCGCCTTTCGTTGGGATATCCACATTTCCATATATTTCTCCATCATGCTGGGCAAATGCCGTTCATCTGCTGTAAATACGTTTGGACACATGTACACACCATCTTCAGGAGAATCAATTCCCATCAATTCCCCCTATAATACAGTAAAACATAGACTATCATCATCATATCACCATCATATCACTATCATCATATCCCCATTCATAGCACCATAGCTTCATTAGTATGGTGATATATGGTGTATCAATTCCCATCAAATCACCATCATACACCATTGATTCATCCTGATTCAACTCGCAGCCCCTCGCACCTGTACCAACTCATCATGGCTCTGTTGCAAGGCTTCCATCTTCGCCTGACGTTGATTTCTTCGGCCGAAGCCCTTTTTTTGAGGCTTGTTTCATGGTAGGCATCAGATTTTCTACACCAAGAAATGGTTAGAATGGTTGGAATATGTTGGAATATGTTGGAAGATGTTGGAAGATGTTGGAAGTGTGAACCAGCATATATTTCTGGGGTGGGGTGCAAGTACGAGTCTGCACAAGGAGTTGCTTGCAGGATACTCAGCGTGTTCCGAGTCAAAATCTAGCCCAACAGATTCAAGTACAATGGTGCAATATCCCAGAAAGCTATATCATCTGTTGGTGCTATGATAGCTCAATCATGCTCAATCTGTTAATATATTTTGTGTGGGCTAAATCTACCCATCTTCTGTCCAAAAAACATCCTTTTGTGCCTAAGAAAAGGAACGCGCTGGCTTCACCACAAAACTTGTTCCATCTGCCACACACCACCAGCATCTCCGTTGCTTTCCCGTTGCTTTAACATGGTTTAACCTTTTTTTTTGGCCATGGAATTCCAAATGCTTGGTGCATGTTGGTGCCTATCTTCCTCTGACAAAAACACCTATCAAATCTCCAACTCAAGGCTTTCACAAAGCCCACCGATCCCACCTTCCAAGCCGTCTCCGAGTCTTGCAAGTCCAACCACCGAGCTTGCGCGAAGTCTAATCCCGCCCTGAGCGCTCCTCAGGTTCGGCTCATAGCAAGCTCGTGAATCCAACAGGGAAAAACATAGGAACCAGCGAAAGTGACCAAATCTGGAGGGATTTTGAAATGTAACTCCAAAAATGTAACAAACTTGCAAAAATCATGGTTTCAACAGAGAAACTCAACAATCCAGCAAAGCAACAATATCCTGGGGGGTACGTCTGAGAAGATGACGGCGTCCCAATGCTGAAAGTGACATTGCAAAAGGCCAATGCTTCGGATGTTCCAAGCGAAAGATAGTGAGACCACCTGTCAAACCTTTCACCTTTCCTATTGGGCTAATTCACTGGTGAACTGATTGAAACTCTGTTTCAGCTTGAACTTGGGGAAGTGCCCCGTCATTCCCAACTAGCGAGTTGGTGAGTTCATGTTAGTTCTATTCAATTTTACCTATCCCCACACTTTTGGCCCTTAACAGTTTTAAATGGGCTTATAATGTACAGTAATGGTTGTAATGATTATATATATATATATATTACCTGTAGGAGTTATAACTCCATTTAGAACTGTTAAGGGACATAACTGCACATTATATTCCCATGATTATCCCCACTATACCCACATTGTGCCGCATTCTTTTTCGTTACCCAAGTGGCTCACTTCGGACCTGGTCAGTGCGAGCACGATGATGCGTGAGTTATGACCCAGTTCAGAGATGTGATAGACACGGATGGACAATATCTGCAGTTATACAAATAACTACAGATATGTATATGTATATATATATATGTGTAACTATACCTAGTTTCTTACATTGTATGACTGTAGTCATTATCCAGTTGCCAAGTGGGAGGCACATGCAAGACCGGGTTTTCGTTGCTTTGGGTTTGCTGCCAAAATATTTCAAATTGGCTGCGATATTCTGTCATCACATCCAAGCTAAAAACGGGCTGTGAGTCAAAATCCATCAAAACCCGGATGGTACCCCAGGGGTCATAGCTGGTATAGTAAATAGCTGGATGTTTGTTCCCCCAGTCATATGGTAATCATTTTTTGGTTTTGACCCATCCCCATGTACAAAAACCCACTGACAAACGACTCCAAGTAAGGGACTCGCTAAGACTTTGCTGCCGCTCCAGCTCTTCCGCCGTTTCACACAGGGCCTTGTGCCTTGGAGCCACGAAACTAGGGATTTCACAGGATTTCATGGGAATTCATCAAGTTTTTTCTAGGGTTTAATGATTGGAATCTGGCTTCAATGGGATTTTAATGGGATTTCATGTGAAGCAGGGTTTAAGTGTTCCACCTGGATGAAAATCTTGCGGTTCTATCACCTTTACAAACGGCTTAGCGATGGTCATCCAGCGAAGTTTCTTTGAAATCTCATCTGGCAATGGAAAAACCATGGACATCAGCGGGTTGAATGGCAAGTATGCGCCATGTGCAAAATCAACAGTCCAGTGCAGTCGCCTGATAGGCACCATTACCACCGATTTTTGTGTTTTTTTTGCCGCGAATCATCCCAAAGCGAAAATGAGAATTGAAAGAATGAAACCACCACCTGAAGTATGTCATGATTTATCAATTTTGCTGCCCAGTGTCTCTGCTTTTAACTCTGCCAAACTCTGCTCTGCATGGTGTCGCTCCTGGATCCCAGGGATTCCCAGGGTAACCAGCATCTGAGATCGCTCTGAGGTCGCAATCATTTGAATGTTACAATCCTGAAACATGATTATAGAACCCGCTAAAAAACAGAAAAGCACCGTATCACTATTTTAGTGGGACTCTTACTGTTCTATCTTTTTGTGGATGACTATAACTTGGTAACTTCGTAGATTGAATCAACATGTTATGAATATTCATGTGCAAAGGCTTATGTATCAAAACATACCAACATATTGAATACATCAACACATACATGAACATGTTTGAACCATATCAAACATATTAATGATATACATATTGCATAACTATATATTATCATAGTATTTCTAAAGCTATCAGTATTATTGTGATACTTCACGCTGAAATGTTCAGCGATCCTCCGGACTCCTGCCGTCCATTTGGGGAACGCAAGAATTGTGTCATTTCTCACCATGAAAAGTAGGATGCTGAAAATGTCTCTGTCTCCAGGGGATTAACTATATATATATATTATGCATAATCATATATGTATATCAGAAATATATGGCAGTGTGTCAAAACCGTGTACCCCTGGTGAAGATCAAAATAGCTGGTAAATGGATGTTCATCCCCCTAAAAATGGTATTAATAGGTATTGATCCATACCCATATGTATAAAGAAATATATACAGAATTATAGAGATTATCATCAGTCATTTTATAATGGATTTTCCCATTAAACATGGTGATTTTCCATAGCTATGTTAAATTACCAGAGGGTATCATCAGTAATTACAAGCAAACTTCGCCCGCAGGCCCCGTCCTTCGACTCGCTGTGCAACTGGAGCTTCAAGTTTCCAGCATCATGGCGAAGCTGGGAGACCTGGTACGCGAACCGCGAATGGCTGGTGAACCATGGTGAACCGGTGAGCCCCCAAAAAAGGTGAGTTAAACCATGGCAGAAATGGGGATAAAAAACCCAAACACACTGGAAATGTTGCGGTTAAATCCATACAAATTGGGATTTGAACTAGAATATATTAAGATTGGGAACTTAATGGTATTTAACCAACACAAATGAAGATTTCAGCAACCAGACATTCGGTTGAAGATGACGTAAGTATGAGGCATGGGCCATGGGTAATCAATCCAACTGTTGTATGGAGATATGTGACGGGGATATCATGGGGATAAAACCAACAATGTCAATGGATTGAGTCAAGGGGAACTTGGAAGCACTAACATCTTGATTTTTTTGAGGAACTAAATTTATTGCATTCAGAATTCATGTCATTCCGAATATTCCAATATATTCCAATATATTCCGATTTACATGACTGTGATTTGCTTGCAGGCCACAACAAACAAAACAAGGTGGGCCAGAGAACCCAAAAGCAAGACGGCGCACAGCACGCCTTTTCTTGAAAATCTTGGGGTGTGGCCAGCTGTGCTCTGCACGAAATCGACGTAAGATCTTTACTTAAACATCGTGCGCACTGATGGTATCAGGGGCCACGATTCACCACAGCATGCTGTGTCAGCTACGCCTACAGTCTTCTAGTCGCTATTTCTGTTAATGTAACTAACTCTATCCCATCTGTCTAGTCGCTATCTATTTCTGCGTTCTCGTTTAGTTTGCTTCGCCGCAGAGGGAGCGAGCACGAAGCGTGGACGGACAGAACGAAATCAAAATTAAACGACAGAGGGAGCTGACCAAAAGAGCATGAAAACGAAGATATATATGAAGGTGACAGATGGCAAATGATCATGAAAAATGAGACATGATAAAAGATGGGTAAAGACTTCTCTGTACAAAAGCTTTTTTGCATAAAAGCTTCTGCAAGTAAAAGCTTCTGTGGGCAAGAACTTCTCTGTGTAAAGGTTTTTGGTGTAAAAGCTCTTGTGTGTAAAATCTTCTGTGTAAAACGCGCTCTGTGTGTAAAAGTTTCTGTTTGCGAAAGTTTCTTTGCGTACCAGCTTCTGTCTGTAAAAGCTCCTCTGTGTTAAGGTTTTGTTTGTGTAAAGCTTCTGTGTGCAAAAGCTTCTCTGTGTAAAAGACTTCTCTGTGTCAAAGCCTCTGAGTGTACAAGCTTCTCTGTGTAAAAGTTCCTCTGTGTAAAAGCTCCTCTGTGAAAAAGCCGCTCTGTGTAAAAGGCTTCTGTGTGTAAAAGCCTCTGTGTGTGCAAGCTTCTCTGTGTCAAAACTTCTTTGTGTAAAGATTTCTCTGTGTAAAAACTACTCTGTGTAAACGCTTCCGTGTAAACTCTTTCCTGTGTAAACGCCTCCGTGTGTAAAGACTTCTCTGTGTAAACCCGTCTGTGTGTAAAAGCTCCTTTGTTTAAAGGTTTTTTGTGTTAAAAGCTTCTGTGTGTAAAACCTTCTGTGTGTAAAAGTTTCTGTGTGTAAAAGCTTCTGTGTGTAAAGGTTTCTGTGTGTAAAAGCTTCTGTGTATTAAAAAAACCTTATGTAAAAGCTTCTGTGTAAAAAAGCCCCCTGTGTGTACAAGCTTCGCTGCGTAAAAGCTGCTCTGTGTAAAAAATCTGTGCGCCGTAAAGTTGTCTGTTTGTAAAACCTCCTGTGTGTGTGTGAAAGCGTCTGTGTGTACAAGATTCTGTGTGCAAAAGCTTCTCTGTGCAAAGACTTCTCTGTGTACAAAGCTTCTGTGTGTGAAAGTTTCTGTGTGTAAAAGCTTTCCTGTGTAAAAGTTTTCTTGTGCAAAAGCTCCTGTGTGAAAAACTTCTCTGTGTAAAGGCTTTTTTGTGTAAAAGCTTCTGTGTGTACAAGCTGCTCTGTGTTAAAGTTTCTGTGCGCCGAAAGAACGTCTATCTGTAACACCTTCTGCGTGTAAATCTCTTCTCTCGTAAAAGCTCCTCTGTGTCAAGACTTCTTTGTGCGAAAGGCTTCTCTCTGTAAAAGCCTTTGTGTGTACAGGCTTCTCTGTCTCAAGACTTCTCTGTGTAAAGACTTCTGTGTGTAAAAGCTACTCTGTGCAAAAAAGCTTCTGTGCGTAAAGGCTTCTGTGTCAAGACTCCTCTGTGTCTCTGTAAACACGTCTGTGTGTCAAAGTTTCTGTGTAAAGGCTTTTTTTGTGTAAAAGCTTCTCTGTGCATGTCCCATTTTTCAGCCTTTGCAAACCGTTTGACCGGTCTTGGGACCATTTGACCAGTCTTGGGTCCACAATTTTTCAGGCCAATCGCAATGATGGCATTTGTCCTGAAAAAACCCGTGCCAACAGCTCTGCCGCAAACTATTTTCAAGGTTTCCTATCCGTCCAGCATGTTGTCTCGCTCCCTCCAGCGAAGCTCTCCGCAAGCTATTTCCACGGTTTTGTCCCGTCCAGCATGCTGTCTCGCTCCCTCCCAGCAAGGCTCTCCGCAAGCTATTTCCACGGTTTCCTCTCCGTCCAGCACGCTGTCTCGCTCCCTTCCAGCGAAGCTCTCCGCTAGCTATTTCCACGGTTTCCCGTCCATCCAGCATGCTGTCTCCCTCCCTCCCAGCGACGCTCTCCGCAACCTATTTGCACGGTTTCCTCTCCGTCCAGCACGCTGTCTCGCTCCCGCCCAGCGAAGCTCTCCGCAAGCTATTTGCACGGTTTCCTCTCCGTCCAGCATGCTATCTCGCTTCCTCCCGGCGAAGCTCTCCGCAACCTATTTGCACGGTTTCCTCTCCGTCCAGCATGCTGTCTCGCTCCCTCCCAGCGAAGCTCTCCTTAACCTATTTCCACGGTTTCCTCTCCGTCCAGGATGCTGTCTCGCTCCCTCCCAGCAAAGCTTTCCGCAAACTATTTGCACGGTTTTCTCTCCGTCCAGAATGCTGTCTCGCTCCCTCCCAGCGAAGCTTTCCGCAAGCTGTCTCGCTCCCTCCCAGCTCAGCAAGCTATTTCCACGGTTTCCTATCCGTCCAGCATGTTATCTCGCTCCCTCCCAGCGAAACTCTCCGCAAGCTATTTTCACACTTTCCTCCGTGCAGCATGCTGTCTCCCTCCCTCCCAGTGAAGCTCTCCGCAACCTATTTGCACGCTTTCTTCTCCGTCCAACATGCTGTCTCGCTCCCTCCCAGCGGACTTTCCCCAAGCTATTTCCACGGTTTTCTCTCCGTCCAGCATGCTGTCTCGCTCCCTCCCAGTGGAGCTCTCCGCAAGCTATTTTCACGGTTTCCTCTCCGTCCAGCATGCTGTCTCGCTCCCTCCCAGCAAAGCTCTCCGCAAGCTATTTGGACGGTTTCCTCTCCGTCCAGCATGCTATCTCGCTTCCTCCCATGCAGCGAAGCTCTCCGAAACTATTTCCACGGTTTCCCATCCGTCCAGTTGTCTCGTTCCCTTCCAGCGAAGCTCCCCGCAAGCTATTTGCACGGTTTCCTCTCCGTCCAGCATGCTGTCTCATCCTCTCGCGCTTCCTCCCAGCAAAGCTCTCCGCAAGCTATTTCCACAGTTTTCGTCTCCGTGCAGCATGCTGTCTTGCTCCCTCCCAGCGAAGTTTCCTCAAGCTATTTCCACGGCATCATCCCGTCCAGCATGCTGTCTCGCTCCCTTCAAGCGCAACTTTCCGAAAGCTATTTGCACGCTTTCTTCTCCGTCCAGCATGCTGTCTGGCTCCCTCCCACCGAAGTTTCCCCAAGCTATTTCCACGGTTTTGTCCCGTCCAGCATGCTGTCGCGCTTCCTCCCAGCACAGCTTTCCGTCCAGCATGCTGTCTCGCTCCCATCCAGCGCAGTTTCCCCAAGCTATTTTCCACGGTTTTGTCCCGTCCAGCATGCTGTCTTGCTCCCTCCCCGCGCAGTTTCCCGAAGCTATTTCCACGGTTTTGTCCCGTCCAGCATCCGGTCTCGCTCCCTCCCAGCGAAGTTTCCCCAAGCTATTTTCAACGG